ATTATTATTATTATTATTATCATTATTATTATTATTATTATTATTATTATTATATTTCGCCCCCCAGGCCCCGACCTGTGCTCGGGTGGGCTAATCCCCGTTCTTCTTTCTTCTTTAACTATGTCTTTACTTTGTTACTTTTATTGAACTTTGCATAAAATTCGTAAGCAATTTCGACAATAAGAGCCTAAGATCTTACAATGATTCCAAATTCTTGTATGTCTTTTCGAATGTGATTTTTAAATTTTTTTCCGAAGTAGATATTTTTTTTACTGCTTTTCTTGCCAAAACACGAGTGTATACTGTACCATTATTCCCCTTTGGGATGTTTTCGTACAAGGTTCATCTGGGTAGAAACTATACTTTCAGTTATATCAAATAAAGGTTTATTCTCCTCAATACCCTGGAATTATAAACACGACAGTTAGTTTATTATATCCTGCATCAGTCCATGATCGGTACCATGATGGATCTGGTAGAGTTCAGTGAGACCTGTACTGTACCTCTCTCACTTTACCTCAACCCCAAATTTTCTCACAGATATCGCATGTTTATTGTCTCTGTTGAGGTCACCATGAAATTGCATTTTTGTGTTCGTGAAAGATCCGCTTCATAGAATAGTGTGATGTTAGGGTATTTACTTGTATAATCTTGAACTCTTATTTATTGAATATTTTCACTTCCAGTCTTACACTCCGGCTCGAGGTGCTGTACACGCCCAGGATGCTAGTCTTCAGTTTCTTATGAGAGAAGAACCCGGCACAACTTTTCATTCAACGTGAAAATATGTGACGAGAATGCGTTGGCCGTCATCCAGTTCTATTTGATACGCCTGTGGACGGAAACCTTCAAGGCAGGGTAAGTCCTCTTAGTTCAAGTTAATGAAATGTTTTAATGTAGAGGTCTTGCGTGGGATTTAAGGCGTGATGGCCTTGTGTCATCTTCCCGACGTGACCGTAACATTGAAAGTTTCGTGTTTTTTTTAACTGCATTGTAACGTGAGGCAATGTTGTTGTAATTCTTGTTCGTTGTAATTATTTTTTTCTAACTTGTCAATCTCACAGCGTTTACTTTTTCTCTTATAATTCAGGGAAAATACTTTATTTGAAAGGTTTCTATAGTTATATGCCTACATTTTTATTATCATTAGACACCCTGAAGCAGTACTGGGATTCTTAACATCGTCTACCCTCATGTACACCTTAGTCAGTGACATGCTCGCTCCTGGAGAATGAGACTCATGGTGAGTTTGATGGTTGTGTTCTTAAAGGGGTGGAGGAGGGTCGTGGAATGTTAACATAGCCCGATGGGGAATGGGTGAGTATTGGTCACACTTTAGCTGGATATCTGTTTTCACAGCCTGGGAGAGAGAGAGAGAGAGAGAGCTGTTGAGGGTAAATATAAATGTCAAGAAACAGAATTGAACTCTTTCTGCCCTTGATTTATGCTGCAGACAAATATAGAGTACAGAGGGTATTTATCAGTGCCGTGACCTTGATCTTTGACCTTTTGACCCCAAGAAATAGCTCTAGGCGGTGTCATGATGGGAATATATGTCAAACAGGTGTCCGTATTCGAGTTGTACTGCAGACAACGAAACACGCATGGTAAGACCTCCCTCCTCACGCACTCCTGTCAGCGAGGGAAATAATGGTAGTTGTCAACACTACATCACAGCAGCATCACGCACCATCGGCTGTTAAAATCATACAGTGCTATCGTAGAGTACCTATAGTAGTAATTATAACTGTTACAAGAGTACTGTACTGTACTACCTAAATTATAATAATAATCAGTTGTTATAGAGTACACCTAACATCTAAAATAATGTTATTGATTATATTTACGGTGGTTACAGTATAGATATTAGTTATAGTTATCACTAGTTACACCTGTATAATATAATGATAGTGTGCAGTTATTACAGATTACATATATACTGTATATTAATAATAATATCAACAATAGTAGTAATTTGCGGGTGTTGTTAATAATGATTACAGCTCTCTCAGATTATACCTATATAATATTGATGTTAATAAGAATGTTAATATACGGTATCGGATATACAACATCAGCCACCATACAACTAACAAGTGTTGTTAAAATATTGGCATATAAAGTACTGATGAGAAGTTAAATATATAAAATATATATCCCCAGTTTTTAAAAGCTCTTGTGCCGTATCTACATTGGTGTTGTGTACTTACAGTTTTAAAAGGTACAGTAGTGGAACACGCTAATGAGTTATAACAACAATAAATAAATTAAGAATAATTTGTGTTGGTCATCGTTCATATACGGCCGAGATGAAGTGCGGTATTAAATAAACTCTGGGGAGTGTTTCCTCCGAGTCCCAGATGGTAGTGGATAAGGAAGGAGCCTTGGTGGGGCAGACTTAACTAAACTCGCTGTAATTTGACGGCTCAGGAAGTTTAGCTAAAATTTGGAGAAAATTACATTATTATTTTAATTATTTTCCTGCTGTAAATTATGATATACTATATTATATTAAATTTTATTATTATTGTTATTATTATTATTATTATTATTATTATTATTATTATTATTATTATTATTATTATTATTATTATTATTATTATTATTATTATTATTATTATTATTATTATTATTACTAGTGAGTATAGGCAGTTATATTATTATTGTTGTTATACAAGTATCTTGCATATATAATACAAGCTTTATTTGTAGATCATAAATATGGTTCATGCAACCTATAAACACGTAAAATACAATCTCTTTATGATGATTATGGTATAATGATGATAATGATACAGGGAGTCACCCAGTCATAGGCAGAGAGTTCCGTACATTACCTAGGGAGTTTAAAAAGAAGCTATGGGTAATGAACAGTAACGAGGTGGTGTTTGGTTGAGTGGTGCCAGAAGTAGTCACGTTGAATGCATGACCTAGAGAGCGACAGGTTAAGCCATGTAACACTGTATTGTAGAAGTGTAATATGTAAATACGTACACCGTTTCTAATGAGGAATATGTAGCGTAGAGATGTGCACAGCTTTCAGTTAAGAGTGTGTAGGAGGGAACTAAATGTACGTTATATGAAAGAACTTGAAACCTAAACAAGGGAATGAAACACAGAAACATCAGAGTCAGTCAGTGAGAAACGAGAGGTGATTTAAACGATGCGGTAAGAAAGGATCAGACTAAAGGTAGTAAAAATACGACAGATGATTAGACACAAAACATTAAACAAGAAATTAGGAAAAAAGTAAAGGGGATTTGGGAGTCTGAGGCGAGTAGTAGACAGTTCAGGGGAGTGGCGGAGGTGGTGACAAGGAGAGCTGAAGGGCAGTAGAGTACAGTATTAGAGGTACACACAGAATTTATTTAATTATCAGCATCGGAATCTTGAGGAAACGTGTACAAAAGTTTATCCTCACTGAAATAAATGGGTGACGTCGAGATTATGGACGAAAGAAGACAAGACATGGTTGAGAGGTTAGAGATTAGGTTAGGTTAGGTCAGGTTAGGTTAGGTAAGGTGAGCATTGGTGTGCTTTGGTATCTTCAGTTTAGTGACAGTACATGCCCTTACGACCGTGTTGCTGCCATTTAGCCTGATATAAAGTGAAACAGAAGACATCGGTAAGAAATAATATGTTAGAGAATTAAGATGTGAAACTATTTTATACTTCCAAAGAACGTAGTTATATAATGCACTATACTCATGTAATTTTGCCGCAGCGACATGTTAGATATTTTTTAAGTATGACAATAAAGGAGTCACAGCCTCCCTCTAACTCTAAAGTAACATATCACTCTATGAAAAAGCGTGCAGCTATTTTCATATATCATATTTATGTCACTTATGTTATTTGTATATTGTTTATCAATCAAGAGACCCATTCCCCAATTATGTAACTGTATATTTTTAGCCTTCCGGCTGCCGTGCTCTTTCAATAAACCGTTAATTATTATTACTATTAATATTAATAATAATAATAATAATAATAATAATAATAATAATAATAATAATAATAATAATAATAATAATAATATTATTATTATTATTATTATTATTATTATTATTATTATTATTATTATTATTATTATTATTATTATTATTATTATTATTATTATTATTATTATTATTATTATTATTATTATTATTATTACACACACTCTCTCTCTCTTTCTCTCTCTCTCTCTCTCTCTCTCTCTCTCTCTCTCTGTGTGCTTGCTGTCAGTTCCACTATTCTCCTCTACCAAAACAAGTCCTCTGGCGTTATCATTCATCCTCAGCTGCTTCCAGGTCTCGTTTCTCTGTGCCTGTCCACCTACTTATTGCTCTCAATCTCCCAACTTTGTGCCCTTCACCTCCGTCTCCCACGCCTTCCTTGCCCTTCTCTCCTCCTTTAATCATTGCTGGTGTCCTGTTCACCTCAACCTACTACCATTTACTTTGGCTTTCTTCTGAAATGTTCCTTCATGCCAGAGATGACCATGAACTGAAATATTTTTTGTTATAGCTGTCTGAAAACGATCATTTAAGATACACCTTACCGGGTGGGTTTTACTGTTGGCTCATAGTTATAAACCCCGTATAATAATAATAATGAACTGTTTATTGGTAGATACAGCCGCTATAACTCATAAATTGAGAATACATATATTAGTGGTCATATATAACGTGAAGGAGACGGCCGTTTGACAAGGACTTTCAGTGGAGTTGCGGAGTATAAAGGAATAGGTAAGGAGTGAACACACAAGTTAACTATGCGTTATTGGTGATTTTTACAGTGGTTGGAATGGGGCTGTTTTAATTGCTATCGGTACGAGGTCGTATGGGTTGGAAACAGATTATGTATGTATGTATGTATGTATGTATGTGTGTGTATGTATGTATGTATGTATGTATGTATGTATGTATGTATGTGTGTGTGTGTGTGTGTGTGTGTGTGTGTGTGTGTGATTTTGGTATAAGGATTATGTTATTCGACGAAAGATAAATGAGTTTGAATTACTAATAATATATTTTATTTAATTTGGCAGAGATAACCAGTGCGAAATATATTATCTTTGATGTCATTAAATAGAAATCCGCTTATCACAAAAAATAAATAATTCATTACAAGACGAGCGGAGATTCAGTAGTAATAGTAATAATAAGCAGGTAGTTGAAGCCGACGAGTTATACTGTGATGTAAAGATGGAGGCTGGAGCTGGCAGCTGGAGCCTAGAGTGTCTAAGGTGCAGAGTACACACCGGATGGAGTAACGGTAGAGATGCCGCCTCCATAAACGCCGCCGACGCCGCCTCCACTACCGCCACCGATGCCACCTCCAATACCGCCACCGATGCCACCTCCAATACCGCCGCCGATGCCACCTCCAATACCGCCGCCGATGCCACCTCCAATACCGCCACCGATGCCACCTCCAATACCGCCACCGATGCCACCTCCAATACCGCCACCGATGCCACCTCCAATACCGCCGCTAGAGATAACTTCACCGCCACCCTGGGTAGCAGAGCCGAGAGCAGACTGGAGGTCCTCGCCGGTGGGCAGAGTTGGGTTGTCTCCTTCAGCGTAGTTGACGAAGAACACATCAGGAGCCTCTTGTTCTGGTGCTGGTACGTGGATGACCTGTTGGTCGTGTTCAGGTCGTTTGTTGAGGACGTACACGACGTTCTTTGTTTGTGGTGGTGGCACGACAATGGGTTGCTGGCCTGGGCCATGCTCTGGGGTGCGAATGAAGATAACATTGTGTTCAATTCTTGGGAGAGGAACGTGTGGTCGTGGGCCCACGATTGGGGCCACTGGAGGGGCGTTGTACACAAACAAATTTCGGGTGACCTGAGGAGTCACACAGCTGCCATCAACATGACGGACCTGTCCATGACCACAGCTGCCGCCCCCGGAATATCCTCCGCCTCCTGAGTGTCCTGCACTCCCAGAGAATCCTGCACTTCCAGAGAATCCTGCACTTCCAGAGAATCCTGCACTTCCAGAGAATCCTGAACTCCCAGAACTGCCATGGGAGAAACCTGCACCACCGGGTGATGGCAGATTGTAGCTTGGGAGCACATCGGCGGCAGCCGTCGCGACTAAAGAAACAATTATCTGAAACAACATGAAGTATGGGGATTACATTTTAGTATTATACACATTCTACATAAACACTCAAGAGAACAAGGTGTTAACTCTGTGTCATTTGTGGCACCCAATAAAAATTTCATCATCTGATTGAGATCTTTATATAATTACAGGTTAAATTGTTCTTTATTCTCTAACCCGTACTGATGGTCAGTATAGTTTAACTATGAAATATGTTTAATATGAACTTTGTACAGTTTGGTGGATGGTTCTCGTGCGTGAGGGAGATTTGTGTCAAGTGTGGCTTTGTACACTCATGACCAATTCTTGGACATCTTTGTTGAAGGTAAAGCATTTAATTGATGTAATCTCCGGCAAGTTCGATAAGTTGTGTGTGTGTGTGTGTGTGTGCGCGTCCCTGTAGTAGGACCCCTGTGGTTATAATAGCACAATGTTTTATGGTTGTAATATCAATTACAATTGTTGTCTAATTGACATATCTAATCTATTCTTACGGCTGAGCATTACGAAAGAGACACTTTCTTCCAACCGTCTTGGTAACACTTAACTTATCACATGTTATGAAATATCTTCTCCTTTTGTTTGTTATTTAAAGGAAACAGTTATTAACATATTTATAGTAAAAAACATAATGGCAGGGTGGGCGAACACGAGAAGTGAAACATGAGGCAATAAGAGTGTGCTAACGCGGCTTGTGCCTCAGCTTACAGACACTGCAGCGGTCAAGTAAAGGCATGACGTCACCGTGCCCTTCTTAAGATGCAAGCCACATACCAATACGCTCTTGTTGATATCTAACTTTTGTTTATTCAATTACAATATTATTCCTCTTGCGTTTTAAGCTTTGTGTCCGAGTAAAGTACGGTATATAACCTACATCCTACACGACACACTTCTGAGTCATCACTGGTGTCGCCCCCAACACCAGCACCCGTAGCCACTATCATGCCCACGTGAAACTGAACGAGATAACACAAACACAAACACCTCAGTCACTTCTGTTGATGAAGAGTCTTAAGTTAGCGTAAGGAGAAAGACCCGATTGTAATAACAGTCGGCTGGGGACGTGTATAACTTTGGAGTATTTGCTGGTAAAACCTTTGTTCTTATATACAGTAAATTGACTCGATAATTTCTTATGGGAGCACTTGTCGATTTAAACAAGAGAAACGTTGATCTCATTGTAAGGTTATCTCTGGATAATCTTTGAAGCAATTGGGACTACTGTACTCATAATTCCTCGAGAGTTTTGGGTAGAGAGAATGGAAACAATGGGATGTGAAGCACTGCTCTTAGTTGTTACTTTCAATGGTGCGAGTTTCAGGGGGTCTCATATTGAACGTGCTATTTCTGAAAGATTTATGAACTGATATATAATTTCAAGTGTGTCGACGTAAATCCAAGCATGTCACCGCCAAACACGCTCTAGCGCGGTGAGAAAACCATCTGCATTATTCTGTCCAAGACGATTGGCTGGGCCAGGGAGAAGTCCATGTTTCTCGGGATCCGGACGCGTCACTCTCTTGACTCCCACTAGAAAATCGGGACTCGTGTAATATTTCGTCGTTGTGAGCAGCACCACAACACAGTGAAGGAGATGTTACCAGAGCCTGCAAGAGGCGGCACTCACCAGGAACTTCATGGTGCTGAGTGGTGTGTGGGATGAGGCAAGCCGGCTCTTTATATAGTGACGCTCTCACCGACCCGGGACCAGCCTTGAGCCTCCCGTCTCCATAGCACGCCATCCCGCCCCTTTCCGCTGCCGTCAGGTCACCCAGCCGCTACTCAATACACATCCAACGTATTGATCTCAATAGACCGAATTAGGTTTGCTTCATTCTGTTGCTAAAGCTCGAGTAATGTCATTTCACTGGGGGTATTATAGGTCGACTACTGTCAGTTAATTAGATCATTGCAGATCTAATTCGTTGTGCTTCACTCTGGCCGGCGTATGTCACTTCACTGGAGTATTATACTGTCAGTCCACTTCCTCGTGGTTCACTGTGTTGGTATAGGTCGACTTTTGTGGACTTTGTTGTGGTATTGATGGTCAACTACCGTCAGCTCACGAGGCATTATAGGTCGATTGCTATGTGTTTCATTGGGTTACTAGAGTCTGTGTCTCGATCACAGGCATTCAAGAAATGTTTCCTTATAAAATGGAACGTAACATTCATGCACATAATCTTGCGTGTAGAGTCTGGTCTCAGCTCATGTTCTCACTGAGTGCATTTGTATGAGTGCGTGGTCGAACCAAGTTACACACATCCACGCGTATTAACACAAGCAAAAATAGCCATATATATATATATATATATATAAACGTTTAAAAATACATATGCTCTACACATATACATATGACTGTACCTGTACTACCATATACACACATAATTTTATACAGTACACAAGGCCACCCAAATACAAGCACATTCACACGTGAATTTAAATACAAACATGTTTGCATACAGACAAACAAGCACACCTACACACACACGCACACACATACATACGTCACCTTCGTTAATAGGACATGAGCTCGTGCCAGATAGCAGGTGTGAGGAGCTGGTGGTGGGGCTTTCCCTGGGGAAGTAATGTATGTATTAACCATTAGCGAACACCAGTAACATGAAGCAACCTTCCCTTGATTGCTGGCCAGATTGAGCCCATGTCTAGATGGGCCCCAACCTAGGCTAACTTAATCATAAGGAGGATCTCATTATCGTAAGGTTAGGTTAGGTTAGCTTCTAGAATTGTTAAATTAGGGTTAAGCTGGGTTTATGTTTGGTTAGGGCAAGTAAGGTTAGGTTAGGTTGACTACACGCTACGACTGGTGCCAATTGATCCACTCATCATTGTGTTATCTCGTATATAAGACACGTTCATCGCCTCACTGTGGTTAGTGTCGTTCACTGTTAACTCCTGAGGTTCTTGATCTTTGTTCGTGTCTGTTGTGCACTAAAGCCAATTGACGGTTTATTTAGTCTTCAAGCTACTCTCCTCACCTCAGGCGGTTAATATCTATAAGTTTCTGAGTAATACACTTAATTCTTATGTGTTACTTAACCCAGATGATTGTATTGACTGTTAACATCTACCAGTTAATCATTTCCCTGCAGCTGAGCCACTTAATTTGCCAACTTGACGAGATCCAGTTAGTGTTCACGGTGTTTTAAAGTGAACATAATGGACACAGCACATTAAATACTAAGATTTCGGTACATAGGGAGGCATCATGGCCGGTATTGCACTCGACCACCTTTACTTCCCCAACTTTGATGTTAGGTGCCCATATACAGCTGGGTGGACTGGGGGTGCCTGGCCGCTGAGGACAGAGCAGGAGCCCAGTCTGCCGCTCCTCACATGGCAGTAAAATTCTGTGAAGAGTTTACGTAAACCGGTGTACTTACGTAACTGTTTCAGTAATCAAGTCAGACTCACTCTTCGGTTATGTGTAAACTGATTCATCTCTTTACTTTCCATTTATATCAGTTAAGTTTCCGATCACTGTTTACATAAAGTAGGTTATCTCTTTCAGTATAGAGATACAACACTATGATTACAGCTTCCCGGAGATTAAAGGAAATTTCCATCTTATTTAGTGGGTTAAGACATCGAACACGAGAGGTCAAGTCACTGTACTCACAGGGTTAAAATATCTTCCTGTCATTCACTGTGTTCAGGGGCTGGCATCGTACACGCTGCCACATGTCTCTATTGTAGTCTATTACAGTGTGAAAACAAATAATCCAGTTAAACTGTTTACGCCAGATAATTAACCTCTTAAATGATGCGTAAACCACTTTTTTTTCTGTAATCTGGTAACGCAAGTCCATTATTCTTTGTTTGTATAACCCAAACACTTTCTGTTCACGTGGTATAAGCCTGTCAACCATTATTTTCTGTCTTGGTAGTAGGTAAAGTTCACGTGAAGATTACCTACCCCAGCTTATTTCCCATGAAAACCACCTAACGCTACCTGGTAGGTTAGGTTAGAAGATGCTGGGTTAGATCAGGTGATATTAGCTTGGGTTTATTTATGTGATTTGCGTCCAAAATTATATTAATTTCGGTAACGTTTATATATAGATGATAGAAAGTTTGTTTTTATACAGACTGGGTCTTTTTTTTCTCCCTAAAACGCAACAATTGAGAAGGAAACCCAAATGACAGATGGTTGACGCCTTTAAGGAAAACACCAGGGGGACCGGATAACTCCTCATTACCCCTGAAACACGATCCTCCTAAATTCCTTTCAGGTTCTCAGGTAATTCCCGGCAGACAGAGGTAAATTTCGTGAGGACACTTACCTTAATTTCCACCTTGCCCAGGAGTCGAACCGAGGACACTCATTTACGAGCAGAGCGTGGTAACCTCTAGACAGGGGTCAGATTACTGTGCCCACTGTTACACAAGACAGATGAATGTGTTCACTTGTTACAAGAATCATGGTGGTGTTGGTCAAGAAGTGGGGCGGGTGTTCAGTGGGTGGAACGACTGGAAAGACACGGAAAAAACAAGGGAAAGAGAAAAAGAGATAGGAAAGGGAGAGGGAGAGAGAGGAAGGGGGGTGCAGGTGTCAGGAGGTCAAAGGGTATCAGGACTTTGTGAACTTGAGCCTCAGGTGTTACCCACAGTCTTCTGCAGAGACTCTCCTCCGTGAGAGAGAGAGAGAGAGAGCATCTGCAGTCAACGTGCATGCCTTCCTATCAACCTGGGAAAGTGGTTCTTTGTGTATGTGAGCTCGTGTTCGTGCGATGCTCCTGGGTAAGGTGCACATTCCCCACTCACACAATAGAAAGTTAGGTGTGTGTGTGTGTGTGTGTGTGGACGGTGTGATTAGTGTTGTTCTTATCTTCGTTATTTTATTTTTTCTTTCTGGAAGACATGAAATAGTTCACAGATAACGGAAGAACTTGACGTATCCTTTGACAGAGCTGGTGATATGGGCTGAGGCATCTGAGGAAGATGAAGTTAAGAGAGAGAGAGAGAGAGAGAGAGAGAGAGAGTGTTCTCCTTTTCAAACGATAATGCTCTGGGGACTGTCAAGA